CTACTCTACTCTACTCTACTCTACTCTACTCTTTTGAGGAAATTCAAACCTTGCTTCTCCAAAACCTTTCATTCTTCCCCTGGATTGGTTGGCCCACCTGTCAATGGGAGCCACCATTTGACAGTCTCTTCTAGGGGAGTCGGGGGAGAATCATACTTTCTCTTGGCTGTTCTTTCTCTCCTTTGCAGGACCCAGCAACTTCCCGGATGCGGTGACTTACATCCAGACGCAGTACGAGAGCAAGAATAAGTCATCCAACAAAGAGATATACACTCACATCACCTGTGCCACGGACACCAACAACATCCAGTTTGTCTTTGATGCTGTAACTGATGTCATAATTGCCAATAATTTGCGTGGATGTGGACTATATTAAAAGTCCCTTTCTCCTTCCTCCTCCCCCCCGGCCCCCCATTCTGTAGAAGAATCTCAATTCGTTGCGTTGTTTGATTCCGTCTCCTTACTCTCGTATGTATCCCTAAGACGCATTCGTTTGTTTCAGATGTCGGGGAGCCTGGGTTCTTTATTCCACTTTGGTGTTTTATGGTGGGGAAAAGGGAAATTGCTGTCTGTGCCTCCATTCATAGGGTGTGTTTTTTTTTCCCACTGCATACGCATGAAGGGATAAAGAGTGAATAATCAGCTCTGGAAAAACGCTGAAGGAAATTTCATAAAAATTGCCCAAATCTTGTTCAAACTTTCAACTCTCGTTTCCATTTTCCCACCTCTGTTCCTCCTGCCTTTAAATGCTCTGATGTCTTTTTTCTCAAAAAGCTTAAGACCATACAAAATAGATATATTATTAATATTTGGCTTTTTTCCCCATTGTTTCTCTCCTCCTCTCCAATCTTTTCCCTTCCACCCAACCTGGACTTTTTTGCCTTCAAATTTTACTGTTTTTCCATTCTGAAATACATCTGAAACATCAGAATGATGACTTTCCAGAGCAAGAATTGCACATATTCATTTTGCCCTTGGGGCAAACATACACCCAGTTCACACATTCCAGGAATAGACTATCACTGGCCAGTTCTTAAACCCGATAAAAGAGCAGCCTGCGCAGTTTCAACTCCCAGGATCACAGTTTTCCTCATCTTTTTGAAAACATCCAGGGATGGAACTCCCACAACTTATAGCCACCCATCTTACAGCACACAATTCTGGGTAGCTAACCATGAATGAAGGGTTCTCAAAGAACATGGTGTGTTAAGCAAAGGTTTCGTTTTTCATGGAAAGAAATAGGAAGGACATTTAAGGGACCATCTATTTGGATGGGTACACCAAAGGTCCCATCACAGGAGCCGTTTAAATTCAAAGCCAGCTTTGTGTATGTTCTTCCTTTAGAAAGGTAAGGTGCAAGGCCAATCAAACAGGAAGTAGAGTAGAGAAAAGGAAGTAAGGAGAGCCAGTTTGGTCTTGGGGTGAAGGCACCAGGCTAGAAAGCAGGAGATTGTGAGCCATGAAAGCCAATTGGGTGACTTTGGACCAATTGCTAGGAGACGGTGATTCTAGTCCCACCTTAGACATCAAAGCTGATTGGGTTACATTGGACCAGTCTCCCTCAGCCCAACACACCTTCACAGGGTGGTTGTGCCGGGCAAAGAAGGAGGAAGTTGTGTGGGATATGTTTGTCGCTTTGCATTAAAATAATATAGGCAGAATGCAAACAAATAAATAAATAGAACGGTTTATCACCATATCCAGCAGAATTATGGTCCAAGGCAGTGTTCCTGGCTCATAGGCAGATTTATCAGATATCACGATGGTCAGAGTGAAGAAGAGACAATGGAGGTTGGAATCTGCTTTGAGATGACAAGAGTGTCAAAAAGTGCCATGAGAAAGGGGAAGAGGGCAATCGGCCACAGGAAATATGGGAGTAAATAGATGAAAGAAAAAGCAAGCAAGACAGATAATGAAGCTAAGAGTTATGCAGAAGACTCCTCAGTTTGAACGAAGGCAGATAGAAAGTCCAAGGAAGTTGATTTTGGAATGGGAAAAGTAGCAAAAGACATATTTCAAAGGCCAGGAGGAAATGCTTGCAAAACCAACTGGGGAAAGTCTTGGATTAGGTTCTCCAGAGGTTGTGGGTGCTCTAAACACTGGAGGTGTTTAAAGAAGAGACTGGACAACCATTTGTCTGAACTGGTCTAGGGTTTTCTGCCTGAGCCGAAGGTTGGACTAGAAGACCTCCAAGGTCCCTTCCAATTCTGCTATTCTGTTAATCTATCAGGTGGTTACGACTTTTGGGCCAGTTAGTAAGACTTTCTTGAAACCATAGAAGAATGCTAGATGTGTGTGCATCTATGGAAGGCAAGTGGATTAACTGAATCAGAAATATCAGTAGAAAAACAAAGATCTTCTTATCGGATGCTTCCTATATTTATTGGGCTCCATTTCCCCATAATCCACCCTCCTGATGGTTAGTTGTGCTAACTGGGGATTATGGGAGGGATGTTCAAGCGATACGTTGAAGGCATCAGATGGCCATTGCAGATTAGAGACACAGGATAATGCAATTTTGTTTCAGCTGATGGAATTTAGGCGAATGGATGAGAGCAGAAATGCTGAAGTGATAAGTTAAAAGATATGAGCCTGCCCTTAGGAATCTGTTGTGCATCTTCTGCAAAGTTTGGAACCAGTTTGTTAATTATTAGACTAGAAGTGATTTTTTTTTTTAAAAAAAAAGAGCGACTAATAATTGAGTCTTCAACAAAGTGCCATTAAAAATGTTACAGGTAATCCTTGACTTACAACCACAAGTGAGCTCAAAATTACTCTTGCTAAGCAAGATGGTTAAGTGAATTTTGCCACATTTTAAGACCTTTTTTGCCACAGTTGTTAAATGAAACACTGTTGTTAAGCTAGTAATACGGTTGTTAAGTGAAGCTGGCCTTCCCATTGACTTCGCTTGTCAAGAAGGTCAAAAAATGGGATGACATGAGCTTGGGACACATCAACAGTCATAAATATGAATCAGTTGCCAGGCATCCGAAATTTGATCCTATGATCATGGGGATGCTGCAGGCCATAACTGTGAAAAACGGTCATAAGTCCCTTTTTTCAGCGTCATTGTAACCTCAAGCGGTCACTAAATGAATTGTTGTAACTCGAGGACTGCCTGTACTCAAATGAACCACGTGGACTCTTTTGGAAGCTCTTGGGAGTAAAATGCAGGTTGGAAATGATGACTAGGAAGAAAGAATAAAAAGAAAGAAGGGTGTTCAGAAAGAAAAAATAAATAAAAAAGACAAGATGGGGACCTAAGTAGAGGAAAGAAGAAGGAACCACATTTAAAAAATGGCAAAAATAGAGTTGAGCTAGAGGAGAGTTGAATTTAAATGCGGTATTGTTGGAAACCTAAGTCTGAAACTAAGTCTGAAATTCACAATTGGATTATCAACTTCTACTTTTATTCAATTTATTCAACTCAATAAATTGAAGCCAGGAATTTGATAGCTGGTTGTTCTGGCATCGGGTGAGAAGGGGCGTTCTGTTTTTATTCTGTTTTTATGAACCACTATGGGAGATAGGCGGCCATATACATCCTTTAAATGCATAAATAAATAGAAGTATAATAAAAACTTGGTTGGGAACTTAAAATTACTGCAATTGTAGATGCTTGATAGAAGAACGCGAACAATGGACTCCGTGTTATTGGAAAATGTATCTGGGTATCAGAGGCTTAACTATTGAAGACTAATGCTGAATGTATGGGTTTCATTTTTGCTTTTTATCTTTGTTGCCTAATTTAAACCAAAACATACTATGGACTAAGTGTTAGTGTAAGCCGACTGTCATATTTTCACAGATGGAATAGAGACATTGTCTAACTAGTGGTGCAGGCAGGTAATATTTTGAGAGTGTTCCTATCAAATATTTTCAGAGCTGTGTTTGTGCTTTGAAGCAAATTCACATCTTATTTTTCCCTGAATAAGGCCTAAATTAAAAGGTTTGGCCTTTGATTGTATCTCTAGGGCAGAGTTTTCAACCTCAGACACTTTTAAGGTACATGGACTCCCAAAATTCCCCAGCGAACATGAAGTCCATACATCTTAAAATAGCTGAGATTACACTTATCTTGCTCTGAAGGATAGCTGGTCTTGTGGTTTTCCTGGAACATCTTTGCAATAATTTTAGTTTTTTTTTTTTTAAAAAAAAATTCTCCTAAAATGTGAGAAACACAGATTTGGTACCTTCCAAATGTATTAAAATGATGTGATGGTTGACCGTTCTGCTTGGGAATTTGGGAAGGTTCAATCTTGGCATTTTGGGAGGGCACCTAACCTGTCTGCATAATTCTTGCAGAGCTATCTAACCATCACTGAGAAAATGCACTAGATTGCTACAACACAGGCTCTTTCCATCCTTAGATATTTGCACATACTCAGTTTCAAGTTAATCCCTTTGAGGAACTAAAAAGTAGTAAAATTCTACTTATCTTGCCCAGTCACATTGGCTGAGAATCTTAAATCAATGCAGATGCCTTGGTGGAAATCCCAAATTCAAGACTTGCATATTAATTTCAGCAGTGTTTCCCAATCTTAAAGCATTTTTTTATCTCTGGCTTTTCAAATCTTAATATAGCCTCCTGTAGCAGGGCATGTTCTAGAACAGGTGGAATTCCCCATGACCCTGGAGGGAGCTGCATTATTGTCTTAATCTCAGAGCAACTCAACAGAACATTGTCTCTTTTGCCACAAAAAGAGAGAGGGTAATTAACCTGCAAATAGAGACATGCTCCTGCTAAACCTAGCAATATTCTTAGTTCATCCTTGCATAATTGTCCTCTGCAGGGATGAGTAGCCACAACAAACATGACACACTGTGTTATTTCTTTTCCTTTAACTTTTGCAAGCGAGCAAGATAGTCCTACTCTATTTATCAGTAAATCAGTACTGGGTGACAAAGGGCTTCTTCCAAGGAGTCAGACTCACAAAGAAATAGTTGGCTTCTTCAGCACGAGTGCCTTCTGCAAATGTGAATTAAGCCATGATTATTCATATGAGAAGCGTGTATATTGCATGCATTAAGTCTGCTATAATTCTGCTTTCCAGTAATGCAGTGAGAAGAAAGGTCAATGTTGCAATGTATAAACCCCACAACCTGAAGAGGTTGCTGACTGATGGATGATTAGTTGTGTGCTTGTTAAGTTGGTTTTGATTCTTGGCAACCACATAGTTAGATTTTTGTTTTTCTGTCCCCAATCTGGTGTGTCCAAACTTCCAATGATGCATCTACATTATGGCTATTGTTTCATTTTGTATAGCATACCCAATTATCTGTGTGGCCGGCCTGCCTAATGGATATTCTATTTGCTACAGGTGGAAAATGCAGGATGCAGAAATGTTCTCATTTCTGAAAAATCTTATTATACTC